AATTTTTTTTTTTTTTTTAACAAGTATGTAAGGAGTTCTGGTGGCACAGTGCCTAAGGCATTTGACTGCTAACCAGAAGACTGGCAGTTCTAACCAGGAAGGAAGGAAGACTGGGCAATCTACTTCCATAAAGATTCACCGCCTTGGAAACCCAATGGCGTCGCTATGAGTCGGAATCAACTTGATGGCAGTGGGTTTGATATGATTTGGTTTCAGAGTCCTCGTGGCACAATGGTTAAGTGCTAGCTGCTAACAGAAAGGTGGTCGGTTTGAATCCACCAGCTGTTCTGTGGGAGAAAAAACCCTGGCAATCAGCTCCCTTAAATATTACAGCCTGGTAGCGTAGTGCCTAAGGCGTTTGACTGCTAACTAGAAGGCTGGCTGTTCAAACCCACCAGCCACTCCTCGGAAGGAAGGTTGGGCAATCTACTTCTGTAGTGATACCGCCTCGGAAACTCAAGGAGGGGTCGTTATGAGTCGGGTCCGACTCAAAGGCACATAACAGCAACAACAACAAGAACTGCTATGGGGCAATTCTACTCTGTCACTTGGGGTCGCTATAAGTCAGAATGGATTCGACATCACACAACATTTGTGGTGGAGTTTCTTGGGTGGTGCAAACGGTGAAGCATCAACTACTAGCCAAACGGTTGGCAGTCTGAACTCACCCAAAAGTATCTCATAAGATAGACCTGGCAATCTGCTTCCAAAACAGGGACCCTTGAAAACTCTAGGGAGCAGTTCTATCCCGCATGCATGGCGGCAACAACTAGTTGCAATCATTGACAGCAACTAGCGACAAACGTGTGTGTGTGTGTGTGTGTGCGTCCACTTGTTGCTGCTCTTGCTGTGTGCCGTCGAGTCGGCCCCGACTCATAGCAACCCCTCCTCGGGTTTCCGAGGCAGTATCACTACAGAAGTAGATTGCCCAGTCTTCCTTCTGAGGAGTTGCTGTTGGGTTTGAACCGCCAGCCTTCAGGTTAGCAGTCAAATGCCTCAGGCACTGCACCACCAGAGCTCCTACCTTCACAGAAGCAAAGCCCAAACCAAACCCAGTGCCTGGAGGGGATTCTGACCCACAGCGCCCCTAGAGGACAGAGTGGAACTGCACCACAGGGTCTCCAAGGCTGTCAGTCTTTATGGGAGCAAAGCCCAAACCAAAGTCACTGCCATTGACTTGACTTGACTCATAGCGACCCCTCCTTGGGTTTCCAAGGCGGCATCACTAGGGAAGTAGATTGCCCAACCTTCCTTCCGAGGAGTGGCTGGTGGGTTTGAACCGCCAGCCTTCTGGTTAGCAGTCAAGTGCCTGAGCCACTATGCTACCAGAGCTCCACTTAGGTGTGTGTAAAGCCAAACACTGGACTTAACACAAACAGCAAGTGTTTAGAAGGACAATGCTCAGCATTGACAGGTATGATGATGGTGGGCTTGAGAGCTCAAGCTTGGAATCAGAGAATGAATGAGGCGCCTAGGGTACATCACTCTTGTTGGATGCTGTTGAGTCGACTCCAACTCATAGCAACCCACGGGACAGAGCAGAATTGCCCCATGGGGTTTCCTAGGCTGCAATCCAGCACATCACCAGACCTTTCTCCCAGGGAGCCACTCAGTGGGTTTCAATCGCCATTCGTTTGTTTCTCAGCTAAATGCTTAACCGCTGTATCACCAGGGCTCTTAGCAATTACTCTTAGGATGCTGCAAGTGCGCATCTGGCCACTGTATGGCCTTGGGCAAGTCCCCTGCCTTCTCCGTGTTTCAGTTACTTCATCTGTAAACTAAGGATCACGGTGGTCCCTCTCATTGGGTCCTCCAGATGATTCAATACCACATCCAAACTGCTTAGCATGGTGTCTACCATATGCTAAAACAGCATGACAATAATTGATTGGAGCTTTGTGACTTTGTGGGTATAATATATATGTATAATATATATTATACTATATTTATATTATTGTATATTATAATTATGTTAATATATTATAATATATATTATATATTTATATATTATAATATATATATTGTTGTTGTTATGTGCTGTGAAGTCAGACCCAACTCATAGCAACCCCTCCTTGGGTTTCCAAGGGGGCATCACTACGGAAGTAGATTGCGCAACCTTCCTTCCGAGGAGTGGCTGGTGGGTTTGAACCGCCAGCCTTCTGGTTAGCAGTCAAGTGCCTTAGGCACTATGCTACCAGAGCTCCCAAATATATATATTACATTATATATTATTATAATATAATTCAATAGTAGTAATAATAATGATTATTATACCGATTTTCCAGGGGATAAAACCATGGCCCAAGAAGTGACCTGTCCAGCATCCTAGAACAAGCCAGGTCTAAATCTCGATGCCGCATGCGCATCTCGGAGGTCTCCCCCACCGTGTTTCATCTCATCCCGCGCTCAAGTGGGACGATGAGGGAACCCGATACTACAATTCCCAGGAGGCACCGGGGCAGTGTTCCATAGCACGGAGGGCCCTGGTCCCGCGAAGCCTCCTGGGAGTCGTAGTCCCCTGGCTCTGGCACTCGGGACAGTGGTACCTGTATCAGGAGGCGGAGCAGCTGCTCCTTCGAGAACGGGATGAAGCGCTCGCGGTACTGCTGGGCCCAATTGCGGGGCTCCGTGGGGTTCCACATCTTGCGGTACTCCCCCATTTTGGCTGCCAGCGATGACAGGGCCCGGGAGGACCCGAGGAGCGCGGGCCAGACCCGGACCCTGGACCCCCAGACCCCCCGGGCCACGTGCAGCATGACCAGACCCTTTGGCCGGAGCCTAAAGAGAGGAATAGGCAGGGTTCAAGGATCATCTGGAGGAAAGGCCTTCCCTCACCTCCATGTCCCCACCTTAAAGGACTCAGGACCCATCCGCCCGCCTAGTAGCCCCCTTAACTGGTCCCCTCTCATATGGCACAGTTGGCCTGGATCCCAGGCAGGGGTCAGAGGTCACTAGCTTAGGGGCGTTTTGCAGGCCCAGAGACTGGGTAGGTACAACTGGTTTCTGTATGGTCTAAGCGGCGAGGCGAATCTTGGGAGCATGGGGCATGCTCCGAAAGGTTGCGTCCAGGCCATGCAATCCCCCACCCTCCCCCTCACCTTAGGCAACGCTCGACTGTCATTGATCTTCCCGCGCATGTGCACAAAGGCGTTCTGGGCCTCAGGTTCGGCTTCAGACAGCATTAAAACGCATGCGCCAAACTAGGTCATTGTGAGTCGGCCATTTCTAACGTCCTATCTCAACTGCGCATGCATTGTCTGCTGGCCTGGCTCCCCTTCTGGTCGCTATTGGACACGGCGCATGCGCTGTAGCCGTGCCCCTTGTCCGCGTGCTTCAAAGGGAAAAGGGCGGGGTTGGCGCGGGACGCCTGGGAGGGTGGGCGGGGCTAGGCTTCCTCGCGCCGCCCGCCAACGGCGAGCCTCCCAACGTCCACTGAGGCCACTCCCGTCTCACTGTCAGCGTCTAAGTAGGCGGGAATAGAGGGGGCGGGGCTTGATTGCAGCCAATCATCTCTGGAGGAACGAAAAGGCGGGAAAAAGCGGAACCAAAAGAAAGTTGAGGTGGTGCCAGGGACTAGGAGGGGGAAGGACTGGCAGAAGGAAAGCTGACTTCCGGGTGACGCAGACCGATCCTCTAGAGTAGGGGTGGCCCGTTGTCAGACAGCGTCACCCCAAACCCCATCACCTGCATTCTGCGTCTTTAAAAGGGAGACCCCAATTCTAAGGAGGTAGCCTTGTGTTTGGGGGTCTGTCCTCTTAATTGTAAAGGGCTAGCTCGATTCTGAGACCATGTTGCTCCCAAATCTAAGATCTAGACCCCTAGCAGAAGGAAGGGCACTTAGATAAAGATGGAGCGGAATACTCGGGGAAGGCCCTTATTCCAGGGAAATAAGCTCAAATCACAAAATACACCCTGAGATGCCTGGGTTCTCCATTATTGATGCTGTCACCCAGAAAGCTGAAAGGGATCCCTCTGGTTCAGACGAACCAGGGGTTTGGACCTGCATTCTAGCACCCCTCCCCAGAAAACCCCACCTGGATCCTGCCATAGAGGGGTCCTCTGGCTCCTGACTCAAGGGGCATGGCCCCAAATATTCCAGCCCCCTCCTCACCTCCTCTCCCAGGTTCCCCTTACTCTGCGTCTCCAACTTCTGGACCCCAGCAGCCCCTTCACTGCACACCCAGACCCCTAAGACCCCTGACAGTGCCCTCACCTCATACCCCAACTACAGGGACCCCCAGTAGCCCTTTCACCCTATGTCCTAGCTCGAAGACCCTGGCGGACCCCTCACCCCTACACACCTCTTGAACAGCCCCCTCAATACCCCCTATTTTGGGGACTCCTGGCAGTCCCCTCCCCCTGTACCCCTACCTCTGAGATCCTTAGTAGTCCTCTTACCCCACTCATGAGATCCCCCCCAACAGTTTCCTCAACCTACACCCTGACTCCTAAAACCTCTGACAGCCCCTTTGCCCCAAATCTCCCCCCACCCACACCCCTGACTCTAACAAACCACCTTGCTGTCTTGTCCTGCAGCCACCGTGTCCCAGGGGAGGTCCTGGGGCATCTGGAGAGCCCAGCAGGCAGCGCCCAACATCCCTGCCCCTGCCTCCCCGGGCCCCGGAAGGAGAGCAGCCGCTATGCACATCCCCGAAAGCCTCCAGGACCTGGCTGACAGTGAGGTCGTGCAGTTTCTGAAGAGGCCAAAGATCATGGGGCGGATCTTGGCAGGGGTGAGGTCCTCCGAGGCTTGACTGCCTGCTGGGTGACAGGAAACAGTTCTCAAGTCTCAGATATGGTGTGGGAAGGAGTGGGGTGAAGGGAGGACTCAGACGGGGAAATGAAGGCTAAGGGAGGTAATAAGGAAGCCATCTTTTACTGTGCACCTAACCATGGACCCAGGCAGCTCTGGTGGCACTGTGGTTAAGACACTGGACTGCTAAGCAAAAGATCGGAGGTTTGAACCCAGCAACCACTTGGCAGGAGGAAGATGCGGCAGTCAGTCAGCTTCTGTAAAGAGTATCAGCCTTGGAGACCCTGTGGTGCAGTTCCACTCTGTCCTCTAGGGGCGCTGTGAGTCAGAATAGACTCCGTGGCAGTGGGTGTGGTTTGGGCTTTGCTTCTGTGAAGATTGACAGCCTTGGAAACCCTATGGGGCAGTTCCACTCTGTCCTCTAGGGGCGCTGTGGGTCAGAATTGACTCCAAGACACTGGGTGTACTTTGGGCTTTGCTTCCAGTAGGTGTGGTTTGGGCTTTGCTTCCAAAAGACTGACAGCCTAGGAGACCCTGTGGGGCAGTTCCACCCTGTCCTCTAGGGGCGCTGTGAGTCGGAATCAACTTGATGGCAGTGGGTGTGGTTTGGGCTTTGCTTCTGTGAAGACTGACAGCCTTGGAAACCCTGTGGGGCAGTTCTGGTCTGTCACATAGAGTCGCTGTGCATTGGTATGGATTCCACAGCACAACTACACGTTCTTGAATATTCAGGAACACGAGTTCCAGTTGCTGGCAAGTCCACTCTGACCCATGGTAACTTCCTGAGTGTCAGGGTCACATGTGCTCCATAGGGTTTGCAGTGGCTGATTTTTTGGAAATAGATTGTCAGACCGTTCTTCTAAGGTGCCTCTGGGCGGACTTGAACCACCAACCTTTGAGTTAGCAGCAGAGCATATTGACCCTTTGCACCACCCAAACTCAACCCAACCCTCTGTTATGGGGTTGACTCCAACTCACAGCGCCCCTAGAGGACAGAGTTGAACTGCCCCACAGGGTTTCCAAGGCTGTCAATCTTTACAAAAGCAAAGCCCAAACCACACCCACTGCCGTGGAGTCCATTCTGACCCACAGCGCCCCTAGAGGACAGAGTGGAACTGCACCACAGGGTCTCCAAGGCTGTCAATCTCTATGGAAGTGGACTGCCTCATCTTTCTCCCGCAGAGTGACTGGTGGGTTCAAAGTGCCGACAAGACAGGCGCTTAACCACTAAGCCCCCAGGGCTCCTTTTGCACCACCTAGGGAGTCCAAAACAGTGAGGTCAAATCCTCACTCAGGCCAAACTTCGCTGTGTGACCTGGGGCTGATCCCTGCTGCTCTCTGGACCTCCACGCATGAGGGGGTAGAGCTCAGACTCTGGGCTTTAAGCTATGCAGCATCCTTTGACAAGAGTCAGAAACTGAGGCCCAGGGTGATGAGGAGACTCGATGAGGGTGAGTAGGGTAGGTGGAGTACTCCAGGTCAAACCCACCCTGCCCTTCCTGTAGCCAGGGGTCAGAGAGGGAGCCAAGAGGCCTGGCTGAGGATGCTGGCAGGGCCCCATGCTGTCCGTGTGGGGTGACATACTCCCCGTTTTCCCCAGAAGCAGGCCCAGCATTACCATCCATAGCACCGTCATCTATCTGCAGAGTGCCCTAGCAGCTAACCCAACAGGCAGCCGTTCAAACACACCTAGTGACTCAGAGGAAGATAGACCTTGTGGTCTGCTCCCGTCAAGACGACAGCATAGAAAACCCTATGGGGCACTTCTGCTCTGTAACACGTCGGGTCGCTAGGAGTCGAAAGTTTGACTCTACAGCAGAGAACAATAAGAAAGTGTCATGGGGACTCTCTCCACTGTGGTCCTGCGCGAGAGCCGAGGTTCATACCAGTACTGCCCATAAGTCAGAAGGGACCCGATGGCAGTGGGTTGGGTGGATTGAATTGTGCTCCCTAAAATTACGTGTTGTACGTCCTAACCCCTATAGCTGTGGTAAAGGAGCCTGCTGGTGTAGTGGTTAAGATATTTGGCTGCTAACCAAAAGCGTGGTGGTTCAAACCCACCAGCCCCTTCGTGGAAGAACGCTAAGGTGGTCTGCTTCCATAAAGATTTACAGCCTAAAAAACCCAATGAGTGTCGCTACGAGTTGGAACTGACTCAATGGCAGTGAGTTGTTGTTGGTGGCGGTGTTCTATCAATCCATGGTAAAGAGCCCTGGTGGTGAAGTGGTTACAGAACTTGGCTGACAGCCAAAAACTTGGCAATTGAAACTCAGCAGCTGCTCTGCAGGAGAAAGATGAGGCAGTGGGCTTCTGTGAAGATTGACAGCCTGGGAAACCCTGTGGGGCAGTTCCGCTCTGTCCTCTAGGGGCGCTGTGGGTC